CTCTCCAATGCACTCTTACTTTCTGAAGCATGGACACAGATTTTTTGGGGAAAAATGTGTGTTAGACACCGACACGAGTCTGACACGCGGTCAATTTTTTGGTACACGTTGGCTAGGGAGACACGCGATTTTGACCAAATCTGACACGCGGTCAACATATGAGGACACATTTTGGCATTTTTTGTAAAAAAAGAAATAAAATTACAATTATAAAAAAGTAAAAATATTTAATAAAAATTAAAAAGTTTAGAACCCTATCTTATCTCGTTCACGCTGGACGCTGCTAGCCACTCCTTCTCTTCTTCGTTGTCGGCCGTCGCCTCTCGGACCTCATCTCTGCTTGTTGTCTCTTCTTCCTAGGCTCTTCGTCTACGTCTCCGGTCCTAATTAGAAACCCGATAAGTCTCTTTCGATCTTGATTTCATCTATTTCTTCCTTGTGTTGATGTTTTTTTATCCTCTGAGATTGGATGCATTAGCGTGGTGTTTCTTCCTTGTTGTCTCTGCTTTTTGCTCATTCCATTATGGAAATTTCATCAGTGGCTGTTTTGTATGATCCAAGGATGTTTTGCTGTCGTGATGTGAGGACCACAGTTCTCATATGATTCCTGCCTTGATGAATTAGTTGGATCATGTTTTTTTTTTTTAAATTGTTTTCATTTCATCCATTTTGCTTTATGGGATGCTATCTACGGTGTATTGTGAATGGCTATGGTTCTTTCAATTTTCCAATCTTGAATATTAATTTAGTTTACAACCTTCGGTTTAGTCTCTCATAAAGCAAAGGAAGCATACTATTTTTTGTTAATTCCTTTTATTTTGTGAATTTCATGACTAGCATGGATGTTGTGAAGCTGTTGATGCTCTCTATTGTTCATTTTTCGTGTTCAATTTTTTTATTAGTTATATGATTTATTATGAGTTGCTATATGTATTAAATATAAACTATATTATATATATTAAAAAATTTATTTAATATCCAAACGTGTCCCAACGTGTCAAAATTTAGCATTTTTTAGAATTAACGTGTCGGAGTGTCGTGTCGTGTCCCGTGTCCAGTGTTGGTGTTGGTGCATCATAGCTCTTACCTGTCTCTTCGTTTTCCCACGACACTAATTATCCACTTCATTTCACACCTTTCATTTCATCTTTTCTATACCCGACTGTTCATCTCTTTTGTTTCATCTCCCTTTTTTTTGTGAAAACTTCATTTTCATCTCTTTCATTTTACCTTTTCACTACTTAACTATTCATATCATAGTATTTTTTGTCTCCTTCTACTTCTTCTTTTTTCTTGTAGATGATGATGGCAGAAGCCCAGAGTAACAAGAAAAAAAAAGCCAAACACCATATCCTCAGTCCGCCATAAGAAAAGGAGAAGCGTGTGAGGCAACTCTGGATGAACATGGCAACAAGAATCTCTAGATAGTGTTTGCTTCTTTTTGTTGTGTAACTCATTTTTTCTTTTCTTCATTTTCATCAAGATCTGTGTCCTCTGTTAATCTCTTTCGTTTCATCTCCTTTCTTTTCTTCATTTTCATCTCTGGTCCGACTCGATGACCCACTGGGTCATCGGTTTTAATTAAACCTGGCCGAGTTGCATGAGTTATAACGGTTGTTTAACATGTCCGGTCTTTTAGGTTACTGAGACCGATCACATGACCAATTTATCAATTTTCTGGTTGAACCAGCCTGTCCGGTTCGAGTTTTACTGGTTGAAACAACTAGTGTGCTTTCTAAATTCGATATTTGAGTTGAGTCTAACTATTTTTGTTCCATTCTAGAAAAGAATATCGCAATATGCTTAATATAATTGAGAACAATACATGTATATATATACATGGTTTTTTTTTTAAAGTTAGTTTAGATAATTTTATCTAACATTGACCGAAATGATGTTATTTTAGAGCAAAAATTATGATATATTTGTAATTTTAATTTATTTCAGGATTATAATAATCTTTATCGTTCTAATTTTTTTATAATTTTTTAACACCAAAATAATGTCGTTTCGATGAATATTAGATGAAATTGTCTAAAATAACATTAGATATTTTTTCCCATATATATATATATATATATATATATATATATATATATATATATATATATATATATATATGGGCAGGATATTCTTACACCTATGTAAGAGTTAGAAGTCTTACACTCAATCTTGACCATTGATCCACTTGTACCCAATGGCTCACATTACTAAAAAATTAGAGCCCTTAGAGATAAGTGAGATCAACGGACAAGATTAAGAGTGTAACTTACATTGGTGTAAAATGATCCTGACCCATATATATATATATATATATATATATATATATATATATATATATATATATATAAAGGAAAATAATAAGAAAACACAAAAATGATTGCTAAAGTGACCCCTGTTTTGTGATTTAAGACTTATGATGCATCGACACCGACACGGGACACGACATGACACAATACACTCCGAAATGTTAATTCTAAAAAATGCTAAATTTTGACACGTTAAAACACGTTTTGATATTAAATAATATTTTTAAATATATAATATAGTTTACATTTAATACACATAACAACTTATAATAAGTCATATAACTAATAAAAAAAATTGAACACGAAAAATGAACAGTAGAGAGCATCAACAGCTTCACAACATCCATTGCTAGTCATGAAATTCACAAAATAAAAGGAATTAAAAATAAAATAAAAATAGTACGCTTCCTTTGCTTTATGAGAGACTAAACCAGAGGTTGTAAAATAAATTAATATTCAAGATTGAAAAATTGAAAGAACCATAGCCATTCACTATACACCATAGATAGCATCCCATAAAGCAAAATGGATGAAATGAAAACAATTAAAAAAACAAACAAAAAGGAAACAAACAAAATATGAACCAACTAATTCATCAATGCAGGAACCATATGAGAACCGTGGTCCTCACATCACGACAGCAAAACATCATTGGATCACACAAAACAACCACTGATGAAATTTTCATAATGGAACGAGCAACAAGCAGAGACAACAAGGAAGAAACACCATGCTAATGCATCCAATCTCAAAGGAGAGAAAAGCATCAACACAAGGAAGAAATAGTTGAAATCGAGATCGAAAGAGACTTACCGGGTTTCTGGTTAGGACCAGAGACGCAGACGACGAGCCTAGGAAGAAGAGACAACCAGCAGAGATCAGGCGAGAGGCGACGACCGACGACGAAGAAGAGAAAGAGTGGCTAACAACGTCTAGCATGAACGAGATATGATAGAGTTCTAAACTTTTTAATTTTTATTAAATATTTTTACATTTTTTTTAAATTATAATTTTATTTCTTTTTTACAAAAAATGCCAAAACTTGTCGACATGTTGACTGCATGTTGGATTTGGTCAAAATTGCGTGTCCCCCTAATCAACGTATCCCAAAAAATTGATCGCATGTCGAACACCGACACATATCCGACATGCATCCGACACAAATGTTTTTTTTAAAAAAAAACCGTGTCCGTATTTCAGAGTCTAAGACGAATTAGAATTTACCAAAAGCTACACTTGGTAAGAGGTTGACGGTGTGAATGGGATCACTTTCCTTTATCTCTCTGCTACTGGTTAAAAATTAAAAGATCTGATTTAAAGGTTACTACGTAGCAAGTTTGTAGGACTAAGAGTTGGATTTACCTAATAATTAATTGAATCTTTCTGACTATTTCTTATCTAATTGGTTATGTAGACAGAACCAATTCTGATACTGGAATTGGGGGTTTTCTTCCTTTCCTTTCCGACTATTCATTAATTTTTTTTTTGGATCAATTTCGTTTATCTGTTTTCATATTTCAATTCTTACCTTTTAGTAGGAGTGCTTTTAAATTTCAAATGAGATTAAGTATATATCATATTTAATTAGTCTACAATCCACCCTTACATATTAAATTAGAGATATGATATTATGTCTATTCTATTCATTTTTAAGTAAAAAGGAAAATAGATAGAATATCATATCCCTTAAATTAGAGTACATTCTTTTAAGAGTGCTTAACCTATTATTATTATTATTTTTCTTGGTGAGAAACCTATTATTTTTTTTTTTTTTTTTTTTTGTAAACAGCAACCTATTCTTTATTAAAGAATAACAAGTTATTTTCAAACTTCTTTTCTTTTAGATTTTAAATTTAATTTATTTTGAAATTAATTATACACATCATTTTAGAATTTTAAAATACTTTTCCTATATATATATATATATATATATATATATATATATAAAAGTTTCTATCCAATTAATTAATGTACATATATCTCATTATAATTTTAAATATTTCTTTTTGGGTAAACAAATATTTTATTTCAATTTAGGAAAAGCTAACTTAAATTCTATTATTAAGAAAAAAATATTTGTCATTTTAAATTACATAATTTTTTATCATTTTTAATGAAATTATATTATTTTGACGTGTTTTTGCATTCTCTCACTTTCATTTTCTTTTTTTATAATTTTATAAAAAATCAAAAATGTAAAAAAATATCAAAAAAATATAGTTTTATTAAAAATGACACAAAGTTGCGTAATTTAAAATGAAAAACACTTAACACAATAAAAAATAATATAATGAGTTTAGTATTTTTTTGTTGTTGGTAATCTTGAGTTTAGTATTTTTTCTATCACAAAAGATAATTTTATCTCTTAAATTGCAAAATGACATTATTATAGAATTTGGTAAGGATATTTTAAGAAAATTATAAAAATAAAATTTTCAAAATATTTATATTTTTTCCTAAACCTAAAATAACATCATTTTAAAATTGAAAGAGATAAAATTATATCTATTAACAGGACAAGCACTCTTTCATATAATATAACCAAGATATTAACATTAGACATTAGGCATTAGGTATTAGACAATGCATTTTCTAGATGTATGGTGAGTTAGAAAATGGACCCCATAAGAGATGACACGCATGTATTCTCTCTATCTTCTCATCCACCATTTCACCAATTGGATGCACACGCCAGCGATTCCAATGATATTCATTATTCATAGCCATAACCACAACACTTCTTCTTCTATCCCCTGAGACCCCAAAAATGGTCTCTGCCACTACCACACTCTTATCCTCCTCCAACCCCATGTTTTCCACTGATCAAACCATTCCCAAATCCTTCACTGGTCTCTGCAAGCCCTTCCATTCCAGGGTTCCCACTTCCATTCCCTTCCATTGTAGACGACCAACCTTCTTTGTCAGAGCCACTGTGAGTATTTCTACCCTACCCACTTAACCCACTGCTATAATTTTTTTCTAATTTGTGCTTAATAATGCTCAAGTTTAGATTTTTCTTACTGGGTCTCTGCTTAATAATGTTCAAGTTCAGATTTTCCTTAATGGGTCTCTCTGCTTATTTGTGCAATAAACGTTTTTTAAGACACTGTTTGGTTGTCTTTGGCAAGGTTTGAAGGTATTGAATGTTGTCTATTTTATCTGCAGAATACATTTTCCTATGTTTTTGGGTGTTGTCCTTTACCTCTTGAATAGAAATAAAAGAAAATTTGGGGGTGGGGGGTTAGGGTTAGGGTTAGGGTGTAGTACCGAAAGTAAAAATTGCTGGTAATGTTATATTGAAGTTTGAAATAGTATTCAGCTGATAAATATTCTGCTATCTTTTGATTGAAAAATTAGTTGAGGTTGTTACATGGTTATATATTGGATGAAGTTGCTACTTGCTACCTCAAAATGCCGGAAGTACTGAATGTCGTCTTTTTTATGCATTTGCTAATTGTTGTTAATTACATTTTTTATTTTAAAACGCTTAATGATTCCTTGGCTTCAGGATAGTTACAGGGTAACCGTGGCCTTTTGCGAATTGGAATTAGGCTAAAGTGTGTTTGGTTAAGATTTTAACTAAAACCAACGGAAAAAGGTTGATTTTCTATGTAGTTTTCATGCTTTTAGATAGTATTTATAGGAAGGAAGTTTATTCTTCCTTTTGTTCAATTTCTGTTGGTGTTGAACAGCATCTAATACAAACAAGTCCTTAGTGTTTTACATGGTACACTTAGCCTGGGAATGGGAGATGGTTTTTATCTGCCAGATTCAGTGTGTTCAACATGTTTTTCTATTTTTTATAGCCCCTAATGACTTTTCAATGTTTGTTATAGAAAGTGGAACTTGCTGGTGACATTATACTCAGATACAGAAACTGATTGTAGTTTTGTAACTCTAGGGAGAAGGCAAATCTAGCTTTAGCTGTAAGGCTAAAAAAGCTGTAGGGAAGTCAAAAACTTGATCAATGGTTCAATTGGGACATTGGTTGTCTAAACGTGCATTCATACAATATCTTATTGATATATGCAAACCATAAAGTGTTCAACAGAAGAATTACTTTTAATTATAATACTACAATAGTTTTGAATCTTCTTTGCAAAAACTTGCTCTCTGGTATGCATATTATTTTCATCCTATAATATAGTGAACATCCATTTGAATGGAGAGCCAGATTTTGAGACAGATGCTGTTTTTGATTAGGAATCTACATGCTAGACTTTGGCGTGTCAATGATAACTTTCTTTGGTTTGTTTGTCTGCTGAAACATGCATATTAATTTCATTTTTTCAGTAAGAGAATGGACTATTTGCTTAAAGAGGGCAAGCCTGAAGTAGTGGTAAAGCTGTTCCTTCGTGACTGAAAGGTTGTTTGTTTGAATCCGAAAAATAGCCTCTTTATAAATATGCAAGGGTGAGGCTAGGCTATATATAAGGATTTCCCTCACCCTTATCCTTGCTAGTCGGGGTTTAATGGGGAAATATTTTTTAAAATGGACTATTTGCTTGCGTGTTTAACTGGTTATTAATGAATAAATTACCATCAGCTTGAAATTTCTTTTGCTTCCGCTGCACTACAGGTTACAAAGTGGCGGTGTCCAACTCCAAAGCAAACTCTCCCTCTCAATTATGATACTGGTTTCCACGAAAAAGTCCTCTTTCTGGAGTCCATTGGTATTGACTCATTCTCACTTATTGAAAAGTATCCAATGCTGATCACAGCCTCTCTCGCCAACATAAAATCCACCGTGGAATACATGACCTCCATGGATTTCACTGCAATTGAGTTTCAGCGTATAGTTGGCATGTGCCCTGAGATTCTGACCACACAAGTCTCAGATATCATCCCTGTCTTCACCTTCCTTTTCCGCGAAGCTCATGTAAGAGGTTCAGATATTAAACGGGTTATAAATCGTCGTCCGAGATTGCTTGTCTGCAGTGTTAATAAGCAACTTCGTCCTACCCTATACTTCCTCCAAAGTATTGGCATAGAAGAGGTAAACAAACATACCAATTTGTTATCATGTAGTGTTGAAGAAAAGCTTATACCCAGGATTAATTATTTAGAGAATATTGGGTTTTCTCGCCGCGATGCAACTTCAATGTTCCGAAGATTTCCTCAACTGTTTTGTTATAGTATTAAGAATAATTTGGAGCCTAAATACAATTACTTTGTGGTGGAGATGGGAAGAGATTTGAAGGAGCTGAAAGAGTTTCCACAATATTTCTCATTTAGCTTAGAGAATAGAATTAAGCTTAGGCATAAACTGTGTGTAGAAATGGGGGTGTGTTTTCCTCTCCCTGTATTATTAAGGACAAGTGAAGTGATATTTAGAAATAGATTAGATGTATGTGTAAATTCTTCAACACCCTTGAAAACTTCTCCTCTTTGGGGTACTGGTTGTGATTATGATCAAGTATAGAGAAAACATTTGCATTATATATATACATTGCTTTTGTAAATTTCTAAATGGCGATTAGGTGCTCTTGGCCTTTCAGCATGAAAAAGTTGAGTTAATCATTCATGAGTAACCTCTTTTAACAAATTGACTTTTTTTTGTCACTGGAAATCTGATGTTCAATTTGAAATATTGAATGGCAATTTTCTTAAAATTTCCTATTAACTGCTCCAATTCTTCAGGAACAACAATAGCAACAAGTCTTGACAATCCACATATTATATGAACTTTCTTCATATTTGCTCACTTGTTTCAAAAGAATGTCCGCTGTAACACCAGGTTCACTGGTTCAGGAAGAGGTGTCAATCAAAGGTATCTCAAAAATTTAGTTCATAAGAAAAGCAAAGTAATCAGAGAAACGAAAATCTTAAAACTTTCTCCTCCTTGGATATTAAAATTTTATTTCCTTCTCACTACATAGTATAAGAATGTTACTTTTTTTTTTTCTCTCATGTAACTCTTCAAATTTTTTGGGCACACAACCTATAAGTAACTTACAATTTACATAACTATCTTTCCTTTTTTTGTTGTTGTTGTTGTTGAACTTTCGTATTGTTTGGAAGTAAAATTAGTGAAACAATCAAAATACCTGCAACTGAAGTAGTTTTAAACTTAATTTAATAATTAAACAAAATTACTTACAACCTCTCTTGTCTCTTTCTTGTTCTATCCCTTCGTCATATTGGATTTATATTTTTTAAAACAAGGAATTGTTTTCCTGGAATCTCCAAGTCCACCATTTGGGAACACCATTTCATGTCCCGACTTGCATATGAAAAGCATGCCGTAAGATTCTTAATTGCATTATGATACGATACCACCCTCAAAGCAATTGGACTGAGTCAGCAACAAGGCAGTTAGGAAGGAATATTCACGAAATGTGTTTTGTGATAATTACTAATAGAATGTGGAAGAAAGTGCTATACAACATGAGCAACGTGAAGACTATGCAGCTGGTATAAATAGTACTTGGAACTACCAGAGAGAGTAATTTTGTAAAGTATTGGGATCCATTTGGATACTGGGAGAGTCCTCTTAGCCTCTCGAATTGTTCAGGAATATCTTTTTTTTTTTAACTTTATGTATTTCTTTTCATTTTCTTTTATCTTGTTATTTCAGCACTTTTCATTTCAATGTTCCTAAAATCTGTAATTCTGTTTTCTCATTAATCAATATCAAAAGTTTGCCTCTGTTTGATTATCTTTTATTTCCAATTTCCTCTCCAGTACCTATCACATTACTTATAACTTCCTTGTTTGTAGATAAAATTGATTCAAAATTCCCTTTTATTTTAAGGAAGGAATAGCTTATGTTCATGCACTTCATATTTGCTTTTCGCCCCGGAAATATAACCTGCTTAATAGAAAAGGGTAAAATGTGTGTCATTTTAAAGGATGTAAAGTTGTGTCATTTTAAGTGAGAGAAAGAGATAGATAGAAGAGGAGAGAGAGAGTGGACAAAAAAATAAAAGTATGAGTCCCATCTCTTTGTGAGAGTAAAATGATGTAAGTTATGTCATTTAAAAAGACAAACACTTTTTTCAATAAAAAAATATATATTGGATTTAGGAATAATCCGATTCAAACTGATGACTTCTACCATGTCAAGATGACAGGTTTACCCCTTCCCTTGACTCGATCGGAAAATAGAATTGAGTAGTCCTAAAATATAACCCTGCTTAATAGAAAAACACATATTGGATTTAGGAATAAATAATCAAAATTCAAACTGTTGACATCTATCATGCCAAGATGACAGGTTTATCCCTTCCCTTGCCTCAATCGAGAAATAGAATGGATTAATCCTAAGGCAAAGACCAATATCCCATATTATTGTATGTTAAGATTTACTTTGATCTGAACTGCTACAAATTTGTGCAGCTGATTGGTTAATCGGTGGATTTGGTTGTCTTACATGATTTCAATTGGAGTCCTTTGTGAGGAAGCAAAATGTGGTTTAAGGCTATGACTTCGAAATTTGAATGCGATGAAGTTGATGCAAGTTCATCATCTCAGATGCTTATACTTACAGGAACGAGGGCATAAGTAGTCAGACTTTAGTACTTGCACACTTGGTTTCATCAATCCTTAACAATAATGATTATAAAAATCACGGCGTCCGTTTTTTTCCCTAACCTTCTCATTCTTCGCATTAATAAACGTTCATAAACTTTCAACCTAAGCAACTCAATCAGTGACCTCACTTTCAGGAAATTATTATAATCGTCAACTGGGAAGCATAGAAGACTCTCGTAGCTGTAGGAATGATCTGACCACCACCTCTGTGGATAGCATCGGCATGCAGGACAACATCACATACTTCAAAGCAGATCGCTGTCATGTTTTCTTCAGTCAAAGCACCTTCTTTTGATGCCCACTGGAATCCAGCAACTACAGAATCCTTGATTTCATTTAAATACTGGACTCCCTTACACATATCAACCACCATGTTAGGTCCAAGGGTCTCAGGTCCAAAACACCAGATTTTCTTGGCAAGATCCTTATCCCAACCAAACTCCTCTGACAAAATTTTAGACCGAACTTTGGGGTCATCTCTTGGTCCAATCTTTCCATCATCAATGGCCTCTGCAAGCCCATCCTCCATTGGTCTTGCTTCCATGTATAGACGGTTGTGCTTGTTGGGTGACTTGCTCATCACAGTGTGGCATGATCTCTCTAGGACAAGTCTCCCTGAATGACAAAACAGGGTCAGATTTAATAATCTCAGCTCCACCCATAAAATCTTCCTGCAAGTCCTTCAAGCAGATCTCAAGATGAAGCTCACCAGCACCAGCAACAATGTGTTCACCAGACTCCTCAATAGTACAAACAACCATAGGATCCGACTTGGCCAACCGTTTAAGCCCTTCAACAAGCTTAGGAAGATCAGATGCAACCTTACATTGAACAGCAACATGAACAACAGGTGAGACAGAAAACTTCATAGCTCGAATAGGGTGGGCATCAACTTCCTTTTCATTTGTCAATGTTGCATTCTTGGTGATAAATTCATCCAAACCAACCAGGGCAACTGTATTACCACAAAGCACATCCTCAACAGTTTCCTGCTTCTTTCCCATCCAAATGACAGTTCTTTGAACACTTTTCACATACAGATCTTTCTTCTCCCCAGGGACATAATTTGGTCCCATAATCTGACCTTCAAACCAGTTGAAACCCTACCGGCAAAGACACGGCTAAAAGCAAAAAACCTACCGTTTTCAGATGCTGGAATCATCTTTGAGACATAAAGCATCAGAGGTCCTTCAGGATCACAATTCCTGATAGCAGCAGCATAAGGATCATCAAGGGGACCCTCGTACAAATTCTCAACACGATACTTTAGGGCCGTTGCAGGAGAGGGAAGATGAAATATCATCATTTCCAAGAGTGCGCTACTTGCTGGGAGCCAGGTTTGCATGCACGTTTCATCAATGCTTTACCCATCAGGTCCTTCTCTTCAGATTTCATGATGACCCCTAGCTTTTGCAGCATAGGCCACAGCTTATCTTTCTGATCATTCATGCAAGTGTTAATTATCTGCTTGATAGGCTCATAACAGAACTGGACAAACCCACGCTTGCACATAGCAGTACCAGTATTCTTATTGGTCCATTTCTTAGTGGCTGGATCAAAGAAGTTTTCACCCCAGAGCCTTTCCATCATCTTTGACTCATCAACACCAAATTTAGAAGCATACATTTTTGCAAAGTTTGTCAGCGTAAAAGCCCACCATGCAAACCAGCAGAAAAAACAACTGTTCCTTTCTCAGGATAGACCTGAACATCACCAAGTAGTGGATCTTCATATGTAGCCATGATCACATTAGCATTCTCAATAACCCTTTGAAATGTCTGGTAAGCCTCTTCTCCATCCACCTGGAGCTCAAGGAAGCATCTGTCCATCTTGTTAACAGTCAGAACAGGCCTAATCCTTTCTCCCAGGGCCTGTCGGAGCACAGTTTCAGTTTGGACACAGACACCTTCAACACAATCCACCACCACTAGAGCTCCATCAGTAATGCGAAGTGCAGCAGTAACCTCGGATGAGAAGTCCACATGCCCAGGGGAATCAATGAGATTTATAAGATACTCATTCCCATTGCGCTCTCCCTTATAGTTCTTGAGAGCATCATCAGTCATTTCATAGTAGAGTGAGATACCAGTAGACTTTATTGTTATACCGCGCTCAGCTTCATCTGCACGTGTATTAGTCATTCGACATCACCAGCCACCTCTTGTACAATAATGCCAGCAGCAGCAACAAGGGAATCTGTGAGGGTTGATTTTCCTGCAATTGGAAAGCCAAAATAAAAATAAAAATAAATTGTTATTCAGACAAACAAATATTAGTAATTACATAATACAAAAGCTATCTGTTAATCCATACCGTGATCAACATGAACAATAACAAACATATTACGAATATTGTGCTTAAAGTCCATCATACGACGCAGCTCTTCAGCAGTGAACTTCACCTGCAGATGCAGATACAATTCTCAATTCAGATTATGAACATTCAACCAGAGTAAACAAATAAACAAAAAAAATCATTAAAGCTGAAACATCAAAACACTGAATTTAGCTAAATAGTAAGATATCACAAAGGGAGAAAATTAAAGAAAAAAATAAGAGTTATCAATGCTTCAATATAACACTGCCCTAAAGAAATTATAAAGGCTAATAAAAAAATATTATCACTTTAAAACACACAATCTCTTGAAAAACAAAAAGATGCAAAAGAATCGATTTTTCCTGAAATTCAATCAAAAAATGCACTTAATACCGTCAAAAGCTATAATCACACACAAATTACACAATCACACTGAAGTCATAAAGATAACAAGCAAATCATCAGAGCAACCACAATTTACCGCAAAATCCCGTGCCGAGAGATATTGAATAAAAAAGGAGCAAAATACAAAACACCAAAAAATAAAATAAAATTCCTAAACGGAATTAGGGTTCCAACTAAAGCATAGATATCGAGGAAATGCAATTGAAAAAATAAAAGAAAAAGAGAACACATCGATCTGTTTGGGAATAGAGAAAGTAACGGAAAGCAAGTGAGAAACGGCAAAGGGAATAGTGCTTCCCGCTCTCAAGTTTGTTTATGATTTTTACGTGGGATTTCCGGAATTGATTTTTTATAAATTTTAAATTTTTGAATATTATCGTAAACTGAATATAAAAATTAAATTTTTGAAAATTAAGATTTTTGAAAAAAAAAAATTTCTCCTCTACCAAACGCTTCCTTAATATCATGTTAAAGAAGATAAGTTATCTCATGTCATAAAAATTTATAATATGTAGCATGAGAGTAATTTTTCCTGTTTATATAATAAAGTAGTGAGTGAATGATTTTTGGCTATTTGACAATTGTAAGGTATTTTGACCAACAATAAAAAATAAAAAAAATATCACTATAAGTGTGGTGAATATTATTTAGGATCGAGAGTGATAAATATCACTAGTTATATTTATCACTTTTTTTTATCATTTTTTAGTATAAATTTTATTATCGTTGAATTAAAATTAAATTAACGGCTTTAATGTTATTTTGTAAAAAGATGATAATAAAAGTTGGTCAGAAAAATGATGGTAAGTATAATTTAACCTGGACGAAAATTTTATAGAAATCAGTTATAAGTAATTAATGGATTTACACGAAATTTCCATTAATAAACGAATATTATATTGATCATAATTGATAAATAAAATTTTCGATGATAAATATTTATAAAAAATATATATATATTTTTTGTTGCAATTTTTTTTTTCAATATTGTAAAAAATTAATAAAAAATAACAACTCACGATTATCGGGTCTGAACTCTGAACATTAGTAAAAATTCATAACGATTAAATATTTTTTTGGTTAGATTATAAATGAATTATAGGAATATTTCTAAATTCTTTAATTATCATTTGTTTAAAAATTATTTATAATTAATTAATAAATTACATAATTTTTTTAACGATTAATATTAATAATTATTAACATATGAGAGATCACCCATGAATAACAGAATCAATCCTTCAAGCAAAGAAGAAAACTCGTTATATCACACAATGTTTTCTTGATCCAACATCTAGTTTGCAAGCCAATCAATACATATGTTCCCTTTAAATGAGTAATAATATGAGTAAATCTCTTTTGTAAATCATGAATAGGTTCACCATTAATCATTTCAAACATCTCATATTCTCTAGTTAATGCATTTTGGGTAGATCACGTAACTTCATCGGTTCCTTCACATGTAACTTGTAATATTCCTATATTCGTCTTTACCTAATGATTTGGGAGGGGGGATATTTTGACTACCAAGAGTGTCCACTACCACCTTACTACCTATCAAATCACCATTAGATCAAAGAGAGAGAATGTTAAAAAGTTTTTGAAGAGGGAGAAAATATTAATCCAATGGTGATTAGATAGGTAGTAAGATGGTAGTAGAAACTTTTGGTAGTTAAAATATCCTCCATCATGATTTGGTGATAAAAAGTTTTGCTCTATTTTTTCAATAACCTATCTTGATTTCCCCTTTGATATATTCATATATATTCTTAGGAACATCTCTACAATTAGTATTTTTCTTAGCAGGGGATTTTCTCCTTTTTCACATTATTCCATACATATACTTGAATCATTATTAAAAAGATAAATTCCCATTCAACTCTACCAATATGAATAATTGATTCCATTAAAGAACATAAATCAATTTGTAAAACCACCTTCTTTGGGGCAAATAATTGTTCAGAGAAGCCATTATTTTATCGGAATATGAAATTTGTCTGCCACATAAATATAAAAAGAATGGCCTCATAATTTTTTTTTTCTCTCCTTACTTTATGCTCTCTCTCTCTATATCCTTTTGTCTTTTAGCATAGACAAATTTATCTGCTTCAAAAACAGAAATCATATTCTATTATTTTATCTAGAATCGGTGAATAACTCTAATACCACTTCACAATAAAGGATTTCATAAATTTTGACATGTTAACACTTATATAGTGTTTTTCAGTATCATACCAATTAAATTCCTCACCCGAGGCATAGGCCAAGCCTGTTTATATACCCTAAAAGCTATAATAACTAATAAGTAACTAAATAAACCATAATCATAAGCCATTCATTGCGATTGTATGTGTCAGTTATAACAACGAACCCAACTTCTCAATTGGTTCTTCCCGCTTCTTCTTCTTTTTCTTCACTCTATTGGTGCAAGAAGAAACAAAGATTTTGCAGAAAGAAGCAAGAATGCGGAGCTGCTTCAACGTGTGGATTGTGGTTGCACTTGTAGTTCCTGTGCTTCTCTCTCTGAGGAACCCACGTGGGGAAACACAGCGTGAAACTGAAACTGAAACTAAAACTTTCTCTTCGTCTTCTTCTTCATTTTCCGTGAAAGTGTCTTCATTTCCCTTCAACCAGAGAATCCGAGATGGGTCCAATCTGGAATATGATTTCTACAGGAATAATTGTCCTCAGGCAGAGGACATTGTTCGTTCAGCAGTTACTCGCGTTTACTTTGATCAAAGAGATGTCTCCCCTGCTCTTCTTCGCCTCTTCTTCCATGACTGCTTCATCCAGGTCCTTCTTCTTTTTCATGGGGTGTTTGTTTTTTTCTGTGTTTTGCTTCCAAGATCATAAATTTAGACTCTTTTTTATCTGATATCAAATGGGTCTTGATTGCTTGGTGTCTAGTCATTTTTTTGTTTTGTAGCTTTTCTTGATTTCTTTTCCTTCTTCTGACTCTGCTGGGTTATTACAGGATTCTGGTTCAGGTTGATTCTGTTATGGTTTCTGATTCAGTTACATAAGTTATTTATGTTTCAGCTAGCTTCTGTTTCTGTTGTAGTTCAGTTTTTGATTCAATGATTCATGACACTGATTGATTTGCATTTGTGTGTTCTTTAGAGATTTCTTCTCCATTTGTTACATGTTCTGCTATGTTTCTCAATTTTACAGGCTCTTTGTACTTGGAATTGGGTTATTATCCCAATTTTATGTAATAGTGAATGATGAAATATCATAAATTTTGATCCTTATCTTATACGAGTATATAGTCTCTCTTTCTTGTTGATTTTTGCTTCTTTTTTTTTTTAATTTTTTTTTAATAAAAAACTCTTTTCTGTCAATTGCTACTAGTATATATTATAACATGTTCATGTTGCTTTGATTTGGTTTTCTAATTGTTTCGGCTGTTACTGAATCAGGGGTGTGATGCTTCATTGCTGTTGGATGACATCAATGGTGACAAAAACCGTTCTGTTGAGAAGCAGGCTGTTCCAAATCAGACCTTGAAAGGTTTTGACAAAATTGACTTGATTAAGGAGGAGGTGGAACAAGCATGTCCTGGTGTTGTGTCTTGTGCTGACATACTTGCTCTTGCTGCAAGAGATTCCGTTCTTTTGGTTTGTTCCCACCACCTATTTCTTTGTTTCCATTGACTTTAGTCATTAATATAACTTGAGTTTCAAAGTATATTGATTTTATTGGATTTCTTTATCTGATTGTACTAATGAGAACAGCAAGAGGTGTTAAAGGTCCGAATTCTGATGCATTTTGGCTTTAATTGCAAGTTCCGAAACTGTAGTCCTTGGCTGATTTGATATGCTTGGTCCAGTTTTTCTCTGCCAGGAGTTACTAGCCAACAAATTGATAAAAAATAAAACCATAATGATGTTATGATAATATTTCTGGCTTGGTTTAATTTTAACTGAGAAGAGGGTGAACCTAGAGCAGTAGTAAAGTTACTTCGGTTTGTAACCGAGAGGTCACAAGTTTTGGTTTATTTTGAACTGAAAACCATCTTTTACTGGCCAGCTAGTGATGCCAAATTCTTTTTTATGTTATCTTTGCTCCCAAGATTGTAGTTATTGGGAAAGCAAGTTATAAATAAGTTGTTCACTAAATCATTTTAATTTAACTGTGTTGATTCTCTTTCCAACAATGGCTTGTTTGTTTGCCGCAATCTTTGACCCAATTTTTCTCTCTTTTCTGTTACCTTGGTACTGTATTATCTGTGGCTCATATTGTTTGGAGACACTTCTTATGTTCAGTCATCTGTCTAGATGCTATCCTTCTTTAAGTTAAGCAAGTACACTCTTTTATTCCTTAATTCTTATGTTGATATGCTGATTAGGGGGTAGCAAAGTTTTCAAGAATATAACTTTTGCTGCTTGTGTTACACTTTGTTAAAAGTTGAGCATTATTACCTATGAAATGTTCTGTGGACATTGTCATGGCAGGCTGGTGGGCCTTTTTATCCAGTCTTAACAGGCAGAAGGGATAATCATCAATCATTTTTCGAGGAAGCAACTGATCAAATTCCCAGACCTGATGATAGCCTTACACGCACACTACATCTCTTCAGTCTCAGAGGATTCAATGAAAGAGAAACAGTTAGCCTTCTTGGTAATTATTCTTGATATAAATCATTCATATGCATTCGCTTAGCACAAGTTTTTAAAAGAATTGATTTGTCACGTGATATAAGAGCCTTTATGACCAATTGGTCTAAAGTGCGATACCGCACCATATATTTGAGTACAAGGTAACTGAGTTTGTGTATTGTTTACGCTTCAAACCTACAAAGGTCTTGCGTGAGGGGCATGTTGAAAAGAAATATAATATAAAATCATTCACGTGCCATTATTCAATAACTTAAAACTTTTGAAAGAGTTGGTTTCTTTCAGCTCTATGTTTTGTTTTTCCATCTATTGGTTTTCAACTTCAACCATGAATAGAATCTGACTAGTAAGGTGCATTATTGGTTTGTTGATAATCTGAAGGAGGACACAACATTGGCAAAATTGGTTGTGATTTCATTCACCAACGGCTGTACAACTTTCAGGGTACTGGGCAGCCAGACCCAAGTATACCTCTTGATTTTCTTAGTCAGATGAGACTAAACTGCCAAGATAACAAGAATATCAGCAACAGTGATGAGTTTTCAACCTTTGTGATATCAAAGCCAATGAGTGTTAATTCTAACATAGGGATATCATACATGGAAGCATTATCATCTTCAGTATCATCTGGAGCAGCATTTGACACTCACTACTATCAGAGCTTGTTGAAAGGAAGAGGACTACTGTTTGCTGATCAGCAGCTGATGGCTGGGGAGAAGACTGCAAGATTGGTATCAGCTTATGCTTCAGATGATGGATCAACCTTTCGCATGGATTTTGCAAGGGTTATGTTGAAAATGTCTAATCTTGATGTTTTGACCGGACATCAAGGTCAGGTTCGTCTGAATTGCTCCCAAACTATAAGTTCTTAAGTGAATATTGTTCCCTCTGGATGTTCAAATATTTCATTCTTTTACTAATCTGAGTTTACCAATTTGTATGCATTATCTGTTATAAAGTTTTGTATAGCAAATAATGTTCTCTTCTATGTAATGTGGTCATTTGATTCAAACATTTGATTCCCAGCAGAAAATATCTCACATACATTTGAGGATAGTTTTGGTCTTGTGTAAATTGGCACTTAGTTACAAAATTTCTAGGTTTTGGTCACATTGTATTAAATGTTTAGCCTGTGAGTGCAATAAATATCCTGATATATGATCAGTTTTTTGTATATAACTCTTTCAAAAAAGAGTCCTGGCTTCACAACATCTTCAAAAATCCAAATATCCTTGGTATCAGATCCTGCTCTTGATAATTAGGACTTTTAAGTCTACTGTTTATTAGCTTCCTTTTCTTTTCTGTCTGCCATAAGTGTTTCGTAGGGGTGTCAAAACGGGTTGACACGACATGAATTTGACATGACACAAATTTGATACGACACGAATACATCAACACTAACACGACACGAATTTTTATTTGTGTCAAAATCTTCAACACTGACACGACACGGATTTTTTGCGGGTTGACACGACACGACACGATTAACACGCAAAATAGGGGTCAAAATGGTAATTAACAAATTTTTTTGAAAAAAATGATTCAAAATTAATTTTTTTTAAAATAATAAAAAAATAAAAATAAAATATTTAAATAGAAATACGGGTCAACACGAATACGAATACATCAACACGAACACGACACAAATTTTTTAGGTGTCATTTTTCCCAACACGAACACGACACGAATTTTTTTTTACGGGTCAACCCGAACACGAATTTTCGTGTTGTGTCGCGGGTCGACCCATGTGTCATAAGTCATAACCTATATTGACACCCGTTCGGTTTTTCTGAATATACTATCAAGAATATTAATCGCTCATATCATAGGTTCCTCTCCATGTATCAGTTATGTTGCATGAATAGTTACAATCCATCAAAAGTATATATTATATTGATTATTCAGAAATACAACTTTGATTTAGCAGAACTCAGGATATTTGGATTCCATAGCCCTAATTACTTTTTGGGGTGAGTCAAGTCCTTTGTATGGAGGGGGAAAGTGATCCGAATAGGTATGGGGTTAATTCCGAGTCGAGCGTGAGCCGTGTGATAATTATCACTTCCGGCTCCAAAGGTCTTTTTTATAATTCGAACTTTACTCTTTTGATAGTTCATCTAAGGCTCATATTGCCACTTGAGACTAGGGGTGACAATTTAGGGTGGCATGTCATGAATCTGAACACGGATTAACACTTTTGACATCACTTGCTTATTTTGCAGATGGATAAGATATTATATAAATAACTTGTTAACTTCAAAATTTGTTTGTTGCTTATTATGCGAGTCGACATGACGCGACACGACAAAGACAACTTATCAACCTTAAAATTGTGTGGGTTGACACGACACAACACAATTAACTATAAAATATTAACAAGAGTCAATTTCGTGTTTGCAAGTTGATATACGATATGATAAGAATTTTTTTGTATTAGTTTTTCTTAATATAAACATGACACGAATATCAAACTGGGTCCATTCGAACACAAAATTTTCATGGTATTTGTGTCGTGTTAACTCATCATGTTAAAATTTTCATGATATTCTATATATAAAAAATCTTTGTATAGATAAAACACAAACTAAATTCGACAGGGATCATTCAAAAGTAAACAACTTAAGGATCGGTGATTTCATTACAATGCGTGGCCGAAATACTCGATACCGCAACATATACGAAGTATGCGCCATTTGTTCAGACTAAAAACGCTATATAAAGGTCTCAGGCCTCTTAGCTAGCAAATAGCAAGAATTAAGAAAAATCAGAATGGCCACATATTTTTCTTGGCGTTTTGCATTTTTGTTTATAATTTTGGTTTTGAATGGCATTTCAGCATTGCCATTTCATTCAGTTTGGTTAGCCAGTAAAAGTGAAGTCTCTGGTTTTGGCTTAAAGAGCACTCACCACCAATCTTCAGTTTGGAGCCATTGGGATAATAATAAGGTTAGGGTGCATCCTCATCGTGCACTTCTATCAAAGGGCACTGTCCCACCTTCAGGTCCAAGTCAAAAGCACTATTAGATTATTCTTGCAATTTTTGTGACAGAACAAGATCAACATCTTTTGATTTTATGTTTTTGCTTTCTTTCTTTTTCTTTGGATTTTTCTGTGTTAACCTGAAATAACCGAGCTTGGGTTTTGTTTACTTATAACCTGATATGAATTATCAAGACACAATAAAGTTAGTTAATTTAAATATTAAATGGTTAATTTTAACATAGTTATCCCGAAATTGCTTTTGTGAGTTATTCGTTAAATTAACATTATATTAACATGTTCAAATATATTAGCATTTGGCTAATTGAATATAAGTTTAATTAGTTAAAACTGTAAGTATATTAAGAATTGAAATTATAAGCTCTACCCAAATGATACAGGCTCATACAGCCGAGTCCGAAATTGCTTATAATTAGCATTGATGATTGAAATCACTTACTTTGAGTATTTTTTCTTTCTTTTTTAGATATTCTAATCAGTTTTGCAATTAGTCTTATTCGGAGCGAGTTTTAAGGCTTTACCAAAGATGGTACTCGAGAGAATCGAACATATACTCTCACCCCCACTTACTCAATTATCTGTCGTTATCTGTAACACCCCGTTCTAGAACCGGTTTGTTAACATCGCATTATGATATTAAGCGCAGTTACAATCATATTGGTTCAATTAGAAATTCGGACAAATTTTTCTTTATGAACAAAGCCGAATTTAAAATGCTCAATTGTGTGATCATAACCATATTACGTTGCGGAACAAAATAAATTAAGCTTAACATCATATTATCATTAGGTTTGATTTCACTACAAAACTCTCTTCACCTTTTATTAAATTGGAATTCCTTTACTTACTATATAGTTCTCATCTCACATTAGGTTATAGATCTCTTTGTTAGCTACGCGTGAGTTCAAACCGCGCCCAATTTGGAGCTCTGTAGCTCAAGTTATGCCAATTTTACAAAATCATGTGTATGCTGAAAACGGGCTGCGCGCTTAAGCGCCCTCCACGACCCAATTTTTCGCACGACAGGGCGCTTAAGCGCGCTCCAGCGAGCTTAAGCGCCCAAAGGCAGAGCAAAATGGGATTTTTAGGCCACCAATGGCGCTTAAGCGCGCTCCAGGGAGCTAAAGCGCCCACCGACAGAGAGTTTTTGGCCATCACAGGTGCATCAGGGCGCTTAAGCCCCCTCTTGGGCGCTTAAGCCCCCTGAGCGAGCTTAAGCCTCCATTTTCAAGCTTAAGCCCCATCCACAGGGTAATTTGACCTCTTTTGGTATTTCATCCATAACTTTAGTTATACTACTCCTATTTGTACAATCTTGGTCTCATTGGAAAGCTAAGAATAAGATCTACAACTTCCACTAAGACACAAGGGTCCAAATCTATCATATAAGATATGAAATATGGACCACAAGATATGATATCTTTATTTTTACATGGATTTACAACCCACAAGTCTTCTTTCACCTAATTGACATCATATTATCCTTTCAATACATGATTCTTGATTCTTTCAAGGTACACATACATCAAAAGAAGCATGCAAATCATTTCATCATACATACATCTCCATTAATTACAATATTACATCATGTCTTAATTACAAATCTCATATACATGCCAAAGGACTTAGCTACAAAAGGAACATGATCAAAGCTATAAGCCATTTACAACAAGGCATTCATCACTACAATGATCATGCACTAAGTCCCTCAAAATACATATTGTGACATCAAAATATACATATAGCAATTATAAATGGCATGCAACTCAAAATATCCAGCTATCAGGTACAGTCTACTCATGCTTCTTGCCTCGATCAACCTCACCTCTATCAGTACCTGAAATGATGCCCCACAACACGGGGTGAGATATACGAATATATCACAGTAAACCAGAGGTCCTTGGAGATCACTCCACCCTAAGGTTCACTTTCGATGTACACATAATCATAATAGCTTAACACATTCTTATCCACAAGCATCACATGGACTTCCAAGAGAGATCCACTAAGGGCTGTTTCTCTTAGGCTCTTACCACATGGAGATTCACATAGGGCTGTTTCCAAGGGAAGTCCTTTCCTCAATCTATTCTAAGAGAGATCCTCAAAAGGCTATTTCTCTTAGGCTCTTACCACATGGAGATCCACCTAGGGCTGTTTTCAAGGGAAGTCCTTTCCTCAACCTAGGAACCTCCAAGAGGGATCCACATAGGGCTGTTCCTCTTAGGCTCTAACCACATGGAGATCCACCTAGGGCTGTTTCCAAGGGAAGTTCCTACCAATCATCCTCATCATAATATCACTCATAACCTCAATCACTATCCTCAACCATTACCTCATTCATTATTGCTACTTCTATAACCATTCCTCAATTACTCTTAAACAATCAAACATCAACCAATAATCATCAACCAATAATCATCAATCAATCATAACATGTATCAATGCATGAGCATACAATTACTATCATAATTACACATCACATCTCATAAACGCCTCCATCAAACTCAAACCCATAAAACCCCAAAAAACACGTCAAACGTCCGGTTCCTTCGCAAGGAAGTATATTTAGGGGTTTGGGAGCTTAGAATCAAAACCTAAATCATGCAAACTCAAAGAATTTGTGTGAAAGAGAGTGGAAAACTCACCACCATGGATCACCCAACAAGGCAAGGTTGTTCCTCAAGCTTCTATGGAGGTAGAAGCCAACAAATCCCTCACTTTCTCCTATGGGTTGGATTTTTGGAGGATGATATCCCACTCCACAAAGTCTCCCACTCAAAACCAAGCTTGGATTATGAAAGAGGGGAAAATTTGGAGTGGTTTAGGCTTTTGGATCAAAGAAAATGGTTGAGAATAGGAGTGGCTAGGGTTT